AAAAATTTTTATTATTTTTTGTATGTGTACCATCACATAGGACTTGACCGGTACAGGAGGAGATTGCCCCTCCTTCTCCAGCAGAGCATCTGGTGGATTTAAACTGCATGCCTCTAGGATTGCAGTGCAACTTCTTTGCCACTAGGCCACAAGAGCTCCTTCATGCTTGCTATTTTTAAAGAATATAAATAATACCTACTATTTATTGAGGGCTTTCTATGTGTCAGGTACCATGCTTTATATATATCTTATTTCATTTCCACAAGTACCCTGTAAAGCACGTTCAGTTGTTATCCCCATTTTACAGATAAGAAAACTGAGGTTCAGAAGGGTTAAGAAATTTTTCCAAGTTCACACAGTTAATATACAGTTAACTGCAAATTTAAACCTGTGGTTCTCTAACTCTAAAGTCTAATACATTTACTACCATTCCCTTCCTGTAGAGCCTTCATTCATGTACCAAATATCTAATGTGCATCTACTGTGCCTTTTGTTGTTAGGTGCTATTGAGTATGACTCACAGCCACCTTATGGACAACATATTTGAACCTTATCCTATTCTATGCCATCTTCACAGTCTCTGACACACTCAAGCCCATTGCTGCAGTCATTGCATCAATCCACCTACTTGAGGGTATTCTTCTCTTTCACTGACCCTCCACGCCTCCACCTTTCCAAGCATTGTGTCCTTCTCCAAGGAATAACCCCTCCTTGCAACATGCTCAAAATATATGAGTTGAAGCTTCATCTTTGTCTCTAAGAAGCACTTTGGTTGAACCTTTTATGTTCTTTTGGCAGGCCATGGGATATCCAACCCCAAAGTTCAAAGGCATCAATTCTTCTTCTGTTATCTTTCTTCATTCTTCAGCTCTCAGATGCATAGCAAGTGACTGAAAAGATCACTTTTCATTGAATCAGGCATACTGTATTCCTCAAACAACATCATTGATCCTCAATAGTTTGGATTTAGAAATCAGGATTTAGGAAGGTGTCTGGCAAAACAAGTTAATAAAGAAAAGTCTAGCACAGAGATGTTCTTGAGGATTGAAGGAAGATAAAGAAATCAAAGGTTGAGGACAGCAGTGAGGAATCTACTATAACTAACTATCCAAGGAGAACTCACATCTTTCTGATGTAGAATAAAGACAAGGGGGTTGTTGAGTTGAAGGATATTTAGATAGATTTAAAGGAATGTGTGTGGAGTTAGATGCTTAAATTAGTTTTGCTATTTAGCCATTAATAAATGTACTTTTTTCTCCTCTCCTTCCTGTAAACATCTGCTGAGTACTTATACTGTAACAGATTTCTCACACCAATGATTTTATCTTGACCATCACCAGACATTTTGATAAATTCATGAAATAGGTCTAATCCCTAGCTACCATTAAAAACCTAGAAGAATTTTAGTTCAACTATACTTTAGACAAAAATGAAAACAAAATAAAAATGGGACAGAGCCCATTTCTGTCTTGAATTGATAGTAGCAGTGTTTGAGAGGTAGACCATTTTTTTCCCTAGGATGAACACAGCCTCTGCTATTCTATATGAGACCCTCAGTCGCTTGAGAAGTCCAGAACTCTGCTCATCCCTCCTTTCTGTCATTAAGCTTCTGTTGCATGCACAGAACATAGACAACTTAGTAATAGGATACAAAGTGACAAGACTATGATAGAAAAATAAGATTCTGCCAGGAACATAAAATCAGCAGCAGTTTGGGGGGATTGGGAAATGTATCCTGGTTCTTAAGAACAAGTAAGGGATTATATCAGGTCTAAAGCAGTGGATTTCAAACCCATCAGATGCTCTGCAGAGGAAAGAAGTGGCAGTCTGCATCCATGTTCATAGTCTTAGAAATCCCTTCAGGCAGTTTTCCCGTCCTTTAAGGGTCATTATGAATTGGATGAATTGCATTGTAAAAAATCTGCTGTCAGGGACCTCACCAGAATACTAAAGAGCAATTATGTCAGTATGGAGACTAAGGTGTGCCTGATCCAGGCCATGATATTCGCAATTACTGGCTATGCATTAGAAAGTTGGACAATAACTAGGGATGACAGAAGGAAAATTGATGCTTTTGAGTTGTGGTATTGGAGAAGAGTATTGAATATACCGTGGTCTGCTAGGAGTACAAACAGGTTCATCCTGGACAGGGTGAGACCAGACTGCTCCTTGGAGGCAAGGATTCTGAAGCTCTATCTCACATACTTTGGGCATGTTGCAAGGAGGGACCAGTCTTTGGAGAGGGACATTATACTTGCAAGGATAGAGGGACAGCGTAAGACGAATATCTTGAATGAGATGGATTGATTCAGTCACTGAGGTACGGGGGGGGGTGGCGGGGGCGTGTCAGAGACAATTAAGCTGGCACAGGTAGAGCAGGGTTCAGAGCTGTTGTATTAGGGTTGCTATGAGTCAATGGCACTTAACAATAACACCAACATGAATTGGTATATAAGGGATGATTGGTGGCCTGAGGGTAAGGACTTGTGCTGCCAACCCTAACACACACGGTTCAAATCCACCAGCTGCTCCGTGGAACACAATAGACAATTTCCTCCCTTGTAATTTACAGTCTCAAAACCTGCAAAAGGTCAGTTATGGGTCTGCTCTGATTTGACTGCACATAATGAGTCGAACATTGGATTTAAGGTGTCTAATGCAGTTGCTATTAGGAAAGAAGTCCCGTGAATCCTCCTTTGTACCAGGCTACATGCTAAGCCATTCCTTTAGGACATCTCGAATGTTTATTAAGTCTGTCCTAGGGTCTCTGAAATGATTCACTGAGAAGAAAACTCTTAGGAGCAGGAAACTGAGGTCCAGAGAGTATTAGTGCAAGACTGAATCAAGAGACATGGTCCTGGGATTTAGGATTTTGGAGCAGTCGCAGGCAACCTGTGCTGTCACAGGAACCACTCAGAATTTTCCTGCTCCGCACATGGTCTGGCTAGGAAGTGAGAGCAAGGTAACTGGGCAATCTTCCCATCACTGTTTGAGGACCAGGGCAAGAGAAGGGTAGAATAGTTACCATGCCATCCTGGAGCCTTTCTTCTGATTGGCCCGAGCTTCTGCAGCCCGAGTCTCGGGGTCCAAAGGAAGGGGGAGGAGCCTAGGTATGGCGTCACTAGTACCCTCTCACACCCCGCCCAGCATACCCCAAACTAACCACTCACAAGCCCACTTCGATAGGCCCTTGTGTGACGCCACGGCTCTCTCCCAGCCAACCGCGGCAGTGAGGGGGCGGGACTCCATGACCCCTTTCCCCCGCTCCTCCCCTTTCCTCTCCCTAACTCTTGTTGCCCCGCCTCTTCCCCTTGTTCCTTCTCCTAAAGACCGCCTTCACGTTCTGGTTCAAAAGACTAGTTGCCCAATGAAGAACAGGGCAGGCTTAGAGTGGCGGCCTCATTTGCCAATACTCAGACAGCGAGGGCGGACCACTAAGAGCGAGCCTCTGACGGCGGACGGCGTGTGACGCAGTCGGGCCCTCTGCGCTCTGCGCCGGGAGCGGCGGTCGGTAGCGGTGGTAGTGGCGGCGACGGTTTCGTAGCGGCCGCGCGCTGCTCACTGAGCGGCGGGTGGCGAACGGACCTGGGCCCTCACTCCTGACACTTTACCCCACTGTGTTGAGGTAAGTCGGCAGGTACAGCAGTAGCGGCCCGAGGCAGGCAGGCTCCTCCTCTCTGAGCGGGCGGGTGCGCGGGGCGTCCCAGGCCCTCACGGCGCCGAAGTCTCGCGCCCGTCGCGTACCTTCTACCCAGAAAGAGGGGGCGGGGCCCGAGATCCTGCGGGCCCCCAGGCCCAGCTTTTACGGTCTTACGGGGAGAATCGACGTGGTAGGGTCTGTATTGAGGGGGGAGGGTCTCCAGTTGTAGTCCACGGGGAGAGAGGGTCCATTTAGCTGGTTATAGAGTCATTCATTCATTTGGTGGATATTAGGCAGGCTCCTGCAGTAACCTGGCCCTTTGCAGAGGGTACTGAAGACCCTGAATTAGATCTCCCCAGACGTGGCCCTGGTACGGCAAAACGGGCTTTTTATTTGCCTTCCCCACAAGAGAAATGGGATAGGTAGTTTGATAGTTTGCTGTCTTTTTAAGGTAATGTCTGAGAATTGGCGGCGGTTCAGAGCAGTTAGAGGTTATTTTCCGTTCTTCCACGTGTTTTGTGTAAAGCCAGATGAGAAAAATTGAGTTTCTGTGTTACTGTAGTCGTCAAGACTAGAATTTATTTAAATTTATTTAAAACTAGCCTTTCTCCTCTGCAGTACATATAATTTCTCCAGGTGGAGAAACCAAGGCCTGGAGAAAGGACGGAATTTACTAGATGTCCTGAATATACTTACTACTCCACGTCCGATTCCATACTCTCATTACTGAGGATTCTTTGCGGGGTGGAGAGAAAGGCACTCAGTGGTTAGGGCTAGACCTAGTAGTAGCGTTCTACACTTGAGCGCATTTAGCTCTGTTCAAAAGAAGACAAGCTTTGATACCTTTACCCAGGCCAAGAGAAGTAAAAAATCGCTTTAAAGAAAAGAAAGAAGAAAAGTTGGTTAAACATCATTGATATTTTATGTATTGGGAATGAATCGATAAAACTGGAAATTGTTGGAAAGTTGTGTCTGAATTTTTAGCCTGTGTCTCTAGCTGTAGAATCAAGAGTCTAGTTAGTGACACACAACAGTACTGGACTATTCCAGTACTGTTCCTGAAAGCAGGAAGTATAGACAATATTTTAAAAATTAGGCAGCAGTCACTTTTATAATTCCTGTACTTTTGAGCGACATGGTTCCTTTTTGGTGTATAATTCAAAGTATTGTGGTAGGATAAAGTAAAGACCTTAAACCCCAGGTTGGAAGAGGTAAACTAACTGCAACAAAATAAAGAGCAGTCATTATTCCTTTGGCTTAGAAAGTCTTAGAAATTTAGAAAGAAATGTTTGTCAGTAGTGTGAGTCCAAGAAGTTAAGCTGTCAAAGCCCAAAAGTTGAACAGAATGGAGCTACTGGATGGACAGATGACTTGGAGTAGAATTACTCTCTTTAACTCATTTAAGACTTCAATGGAATTACTTTTGCCCCTTTGGTCCATTCTAACTAGAATATAGCTTGTTTACATGTAAAGTATAAACTGAAGAGTAGAGTATGGGAACAGAGAACTCTAGTGTACTTAAATGTGAATAGTGTTTGTTTTCCGTAACATTTTTTCAGTTCAAACATTGCTGCTTTCTGGGAAACCTTTCCTGGCATTCTTTCCCTGTCAAACATCTATAACACTTATTTAAAATGTCTATTTATAGATGTCTATTTATAAAATATAGTTTTCAGTTGTAGCTGCTAGTATTAGATTGTGGTAAAATGTTTTGGTCTTATCTTTCTGTTCAGGTTACTTGCTACATAGTCCTTTAGTGTGTTAATTTGAACAAATAAACATATGGAGTTACCTAAAAAATAGTCTGAAAGAAAAAAAACCCCACCAAACCAACAACAGCAACAGAAAAAAAAAGAAAATAAAAAAAAAATAGTCTTGAGTATTTATGTGCTCCTGAACTATGTGCTTCTGGATTAAAGAATATATGTAATGTTTATACTACATGATATTTTGGTTGCTGATTTTATTTATGTCCACTAACCAGAGCCAGTAGAGTTTTTTAGCAAGCAGAACTTGACAGAATAGGGAAAAAAACCCATTATGTTATTTTCATGAAATATTATTTATATGATAACAGTAATCTTGAAGTATAGTAATTCTGATGTTTAATGTCTCGTGAAGAACACATCTGCAATTAAGCAGTTTGTTGAAAAATTAAGGGACTAAGCAGGTTAGACATTTGGCAGTATGTAGGTATTTAAAGGGAAGGCATGTTAACATTTTTTCAAGAATTTGGTATATGTATGTTTGAAATTGACCACCCTAAGTATCTGACAGTTTATGTTTAGAACAAGTTGCAGCCTGGTACTGAGAACAGTTGGGGCCGTGCAATTCTTTGTCTTGGGGCTGACTTTTGTATTTTAGGATATTTAGTAGCATTTTTGGTCTCTATGTAGTACTTTGAAACCTTATCCCAGTTTATAATTAGGTTTGTCTCCAGACATTGTCAAATGTCATCTAAGGCAAAATTACACCTCGTAGAGACAACTGCTCCATAAAAATATTGCCAATATTTCATTGAAATGATGTCTTTTTCTTACTTTTTTCTTAAAAATCTATTTGTTGTATTTTTGTAAAAAAAAATTTATTTCCTTAGAGCTGAGGAGGTAGAGGAGGAAAGGGACAGGTGGGGAGTGTCTATAAATGAAAGAGAAGCGGCAGGGAGAGGGTTAAAAAGAGACAAGGGAAGTAAGACACATAGGGAGAAAGGCAAGAGACCAGAGTGGAGAGACTAAAGACAAATGGGGGAGTGAAGGGAGGAGCAGAAGTGGCAGAGGGAAGGTAGGGGGAAGGGAGAGGGAAAAAAGCTAAAACAATTATTCTTGAAAAATCTCATCAATTAGTCAGGCACTTGGGAAACAGTAGAGCTAAATGACCATGAGTTTCTGTAGTTTTCCCTTTTATTTCTGTAGTAGCTACCTCTTCTGTGAGATAGGAGGAGAAATTAAGGTCCTGTTTGAAATAGGATAGGCTATTGAGTAAATAAATGTTTGTTTCAAGTTTGTGAGTAAAAGAGCATTATGTTATTGTTAGGTGCTATAATGTGTGTGTGTGTGTGTGTGTGTGTGTGTGTGTGTGTAAGAGATTGTTGTTAGGTGTCATCAAGTTGAATACGACTCATCAACCCTATGAACAACGATGCCATCCTCATCATTTCTGACTTAGTAGAGCTCATTGTTGCAGTCACTGTGTCTGTCCATCTGGTGGAAAGTCTTCCTCTATTTCACCAACGCTCCATCTTTGCAAGCATGATGTTGCTCTCCAAAGACTAATTTCTCCCATTAATATGCGCAGAGTATGAGAGGTGAAGCTGTCATCTTTACTTTCAAGGAACACTCTGGCTGCACTTCTGTCCTTTTGGCAGTCCATGGGATAATTAGTACTCATCTCCCCCACCACAGCTCAAAGGCATCAATTCATCTGTCATCTTATTCATTGTTCAGCTGAGATGCATAGCAAGTGATTGAAAAGACCATGACCTAAATCAGGCATATCCTAGTCTTCAAACTGATATCATTGCTCTTCAGTCATTTGCAGAGGTCCCTGACTGCAAACTTTTCCAGTGCAATATGTCTGCTGATCTCCTGACTGTTGGTACCAAATGTATTGATTGTGGATCCAAGTAAGATGATGTCATTCACGATTTCAGTCTTTTCTCCATCTGTCATGAAGTTACCTATCCACTGGTGAGAATTTCTGTTATCTTGATGTTTAGGTGTAATCCATATTTGAAGGCTGTAGTCTTTGTTTTTTTGCAGCAGAACTTCCAAGTCCTCTTCATGTTCAATAAGCACGGTCATGTCGTCTACATAGATTGTTGTAGATTGTCTTCCTCTGATTCTGATACCGTATTCTTCATAGAGTTCTGCGTTTTGAATGATTTGCTCAGGATACAGATTGAATAGGAGAAGATAGAACCCTGATGCACACCTTTCTTAATTTTAAACCATGTGGTGTTCACTTGTTCTATTTATACAGCAGCCTCTTGGTCTGCATATAGGTTTTGCATGAGCACTATTAAAGTGTTCTGGGATCCACATTCTTATTGTTAGCCATAATTTGTATGATCCACAAAGGCCTTTGTGTAAAGCACACCTAGACGTTCTTTTGGTATTCTCTGCTTTCAGCCAGGATCCATCTGACATTATCAAGGAAAATTCCTGGTGCCATGGCCTCTTCTGATCCCAGCTTGAACTTCTGTCTGTTCTCTGTATATTCTTCTACCTGTTTTTAGATGATCTTCAATATTTTGCTCACATGTGATATTAATGATATTGTTGATAATTTTTTACATTCTGTTGGATCACCTTTTTTGGGAGTGGGAACAAATATGGATCTCTTCCAGTCAGTCAGCCAGGCAACTGTGCTCCAAATTGCCTGACATAGACTGGTGAGCACATTCAGGGCTGCATCCAAGGTTGCATTTGTTAGTTGAAACATGTCTGTTGGTATCCCATCAATTTCTGGAGCCTTATTTTTTGACAGTGCACTCAGTGCAGCTTAAACTTCATCCTTCATTACCGTCAGCTTCCCCCCAAACCCCTGGCATTTAGAAATTTATTACTATAACATTTTCATCAAAACTTTAAGATCTTGGCTGTTTCTTCCTTTATATAAGGCCAAGAGAGATACATTGGCCACTTTCACAGCCTTAAAGTGGACTCCAGGAATGTCACCAATCGCATGACCTTTGCCATCAAATCCAGCAATTAAGAACTTCATCATTTTCCTCAATAAAATTCAAGCAGCCATCATTGGGCACGAAGACTGTGATTTTCTTTCTGTTCTTGATGAGCTGGGCTCTTAGACACTAATGGCAGAATTTGCCTGCTTGCCCTCAACACTCACTTTTTAAAAATTTTATTAATTTAATGAACATGTACAGATTTTAGATTTCCATTCATTCATTGTTGCACTTTTTTCTCCACCCCCCAAGTTTGTTCCTCTCTCTGAAAAGCAAAAGATAAACATCTTCGTGG